CAATATGACTCTTCAAGTTTAACCAATTTGCATATTGATTTTAAAAAAGTTTATTTCATTAATTAACTGTCCTTCATTACTGTTCTTTTATTTGAGAATTGTTGTGATTTTCATATCAAAAATAGTTCTGTTTAGGAATATTGTCTTATGTAGCACAAGTGTTTGAAATTTGCATTTTACTTGGTCTTCAACAAGTTGGCATCTATTTTTCCTTAACTGTAACAAGCAAATTTATGAATGAAATGTTCGTTTAAAATTTTTGTTTCAAAGATTTCAAGTAGAGAATATGTCTTACTGATAGCAAGTGGGTGAATCCTGCTAGTGTGTATATATATATATATATATATATATATATATATATTTTGTAAAAATAAAAATATCTATAAGAACACTGGATTATATATCTTACTGTTCTTTCTTTTTTATATAAATATATATATATATATATATATATATATATATATATATATATATGAGGAATTAGCAGATTTTATTTTTAATTTGACATAATTTCTTAAGCTCTCTGTGGCTGAGTGGTTTAAAGTACACTGGGTCAGGCAGACGTTTTCTTTACAAAGAGGATGCAAGTTTGAACTGTACTGGAGAGCACATTTTCTTTATTAAGATTCTCAATTGAATGCACAAGCAGGTAGATACAATTGACACTGACCAAAAAAAACAAAACAAAACAAACTAAAAAAACAAGGTGTCTTACTGAAACATGTGTGTCCACTAAAATATAATGTTTTGAATCAGAGTTTTTGATTGCTCTTTGGTATCTATATGTCTGCACATATGCAAATGTATGTTTTTATATCTACAAACAATTATACAGCTGAGGGGATGCTGAAAAGCCTAAGATCCAACTTCCTTCCCTTATTTTTGCCCAAAAATCAAACCATAGATTTAGAAGGGCTTCCTGGTTGTTCCAACATTTCAATACCAACTCTTATATGCAGAAAAAATATAAATATTATTAAAGAGTTAATGAACTTTTTTAATCATTTCATGATTTTGTGATAATGCCACTAAGATGCAAAGGCTTAATGGGTGTGAAAGAAAATGAGAAGACAAGACTTTAGTGAGGAGAAAGGACAATAAAAGAACAGATTTCAGGAAGATTGAAGATAGATGTTGCATTTAAATTTTTCAAGATTGTACCTAACAGGGAAGCAAGAATCTGGAAGAGAGTTCTATAGGTAAGATGTGCAAGAAAAGAAACTATTAGAATAGAAACTTACATCTAGCTAGTTCAACAGTAATACAATGAGACCTAATTGCCAATCTAGTACTATGCTTAAATACTTGCAGTTGAGGTACTAAGGAAGAAAGCTCATTAGAACAATTGCCATGAAAAGAAAGAAGGAACCCAACACGTGGTGTTGGGAAAGTAACTGAAGTAAAGATGACTGATTACATTGCTGACCTTTCTTTGGATATTTTCAAGAATATCACAATACACAGCAAGAACACCAGGCCAAATATGGCAGCAATTTTCAATGCATGGATGAATGGCGAATTTATAAATTCACAAGATAGATTCTGATGAGAAAATTTGACTTGCACAACACATTAAACCAATTTTCCCAGCAAAAGACCTAGCAATTGATTCACTATAATCATTGCACTTCATATCAGTGGAAAACGAGAGCCCAAGAAGGCACAAACAGTTGCTCTTCTGGAGTTTAGCATTAGCCATGCTGACCACAGATAGAAAAGGATCTCCATGGGAATTAAATGAAAGTAGTTTTGTTTTGGAGGTGTTAAAATTTACAAGCCATTCCTTGCCTCAGTTAACAACTAACTTGAAATCATTTTCAAGAGTAGTTACTAGTTTTACTTTGTCAGACCTACTGTTGGGTAAAGATTCCATAGGTCACTGTTTGTTGAATAAAAAAATGAGAGAAAAGATTGTCACGTGTTCAAATAAAATTATATTTATTTAAATGTAAGACACACAAATTTTACTTATCATGAAATGAAAATTTGAAAGTTCTTCTCTTGTAAGACTGTAAGGAAATAAACATGAATAGTCTTTTCAGTGAGGATAGACAGTAAGTGGAGTTGGGAGACAGGGTCAAAGGGAATCCGCTGTTACTTTGATGAGAAAGACAAGACGACGAGGTTGACTTGTGTCCCTTTACTGCTCTCAGTCCTTCTGTCAAGTTGAATGAATGTTTGATTTTTATGGTCTTGTGTAGGCTCTGGAAGCCTTTATTTATTTATTGGCAGGAGCTGATTTTATTGGTTATATATTTTTATTAAATTGAAAATTTGAAGTATGTTTGAAGGCTGCACCGAGCCTTCGCGTGGTGTGTTTAATTTTGTCATTTGCTCCTTTGATTTCAATACTGTTCCCTCCCACCTACTCTACAAGCCCACTCCAAATAGATCTGGCTTTTTTTTTTCTACTGACTTGTATATCACATTATGCTGTTATTGTCTTTGCTATGATCGATGATATTATTTATAATCTTACTGCCGAGAATTATGAGATTAGCGCTCTCTCAATATATTGTCTTCTTACTGAATTCTTTTATCTCTTGGTCAGACTAACATTTATTAAGTTGAAATTGTGGCCTGGCATATTATGGTGGACTACCGAGGTATTTCAAGTATTGTTATGCAGCATACCTCTATATGTTCAGATAATTTTTTTGTGAAGTTTGTAAATGTTTATGTTTTGGTGCAAAAGACAGGATGATGAGGTTGATTTGTATATCTTTACAGTCTTTCTGCCGAGTTGAATGACTGTTTGATTTTTATGGTCTTGTGTAGGCTCCAAAAGCCTGTGTCTATTTATTGGTGGCAGCTGATTTTATTGGCTATTAAATTGAAAATTTGAAGTATGTTTGAAAACCCGGAAGGCTGTGCAGAGCCCTGTGTGGTGTGTTTGAATTTGTCATTTGCTCCTTTGATTTTGATACTATTCCATTCCGCTTATTCCACACTACCAAACTTACTACTAAGACAAGACTAAATAGTTGTGTCATCTGCATAAATACATAGTTGGGAACTAATGATATTGGGAAGATCATTGAGGAAGATAAGAAACAATGTAGGTCCAAGGATAGACTCCTGGGAGCCCCTGTATTAATATGAAATGATCTAAAAGTGTGTCTGTCCAACACTCCCTTCATTATATAATTTGTCAAGAATGATTGGATTAAGACAAATATTCAGTGAGAGAAACCATAGCTCTTGAGATTGCAAAGAAGGTCAGCATGCCAAATCCTACTGAATACATTTGAGATATCTAAATCCACAGACAGAGCCTTGCCATTGTTGTCTCAAGCCTGATAGACAACTGCAATAATAACTATAAACCAAGTGGTGGTAGATCTAGAGAAACAAAAGCCATACTGCTAATTTGAAATAAGGTAGTGTGAAGTCAGATGATTAGCCAATATGACATTGATTACAGCATCTAGCACTTTGCCAAAAAGAAGTAAAAGACTAATAGGGCAATAATTCAGGGCATCAAAAGGTTCACCTGAATTCTTAAGTACGACAGAGAAGGATTTCCCAAATTTTTATCATTTCAAATGTTATTTTTAGTGATTGATTCATTTTTTACAGCTTATCAACTCTTTGTAAGTTATCTAAAGCCAGAAAATATTTTTAGATTGTAAGAATTTCATTTTGATGGGGGAAGATAATAACAGTTTAATGATACATATCTTACTATTTAACCCATAGATGGGGAGAGAAGTAAATTTGTACCTTTCCCAAGGGTATTAGTATGTAAGTGAATATACTGAATTCAATGGGAATTGGAACTCCACTCTCCAATTAACAATTCTGAGCCATTGTCCATTATACCACCCACACATCCAAGCTTACAGCACTTAATATTTCCAAGCAGTCAGTCATCTAAGTACTGGCCAAGCTCAATGTTGCTTGGTGATCATCAAGGAACTGTTTTTTCAATGTGATGTAGCCATAAGCTTTATTTTTAATGAAGCTGATAGCTGTAGTACACATTGGTTAAAATAAAAAAAAACATGTTGTCTATTTCAAATATGAGTATTCACTATAATAACATTTAAATTATTAATAATAATAATAATATATATATATATATATATATAAAATCAATCAAATGAACAAGTTTTTATTAATAAAAAATAAACATCTTTTTTGGGGTGTGGGGAATATCCAGAAACAATGTGTTTGTAAACAAATTGTCCATTCCTGGTCAGACTGGGTAAAAGATTATGGGTGGCGGGTGTTATTGACGACAGAAGGACATATAAGACAAAAACAAATCCTTTGATGGCAAAATAAAAAAGTAAAAAATATACATACCCCACCTACCAAAAGACTGCTATCACCCATAAACAACCACACCTTACACCACCCATTTTTAAAATTCCTCAAGCCCCTTCCACCTACGTCCAAACTGTTCACAACGGAACGAAAGCAGCTCCTCATTAGATCATTAACCGCCCTCCTCTATCTCAAAGACGTGGGGGAAGGGACTTCCACCAGAGATTAGATTCATTGTGACATCACACACATGGCATCCTGATTCGTCTCTTGCACTACCTATGTGTTTCAGGAGGAAGCGTTGTCGGGTAGAGGTGTGGGTGGCTGACGAAAAAGCCTTTTTCTGTTTTTTCCTCCTCTTCATCATCATCATATCCCTTACCTTGATACTCCCACCCGCAGACCTGTAATTGTTATCTCTTGTTGCGCAGTCGAGGAAGTACTTGTCGTCTTCGGTTCTCGCACGTGCAAATCCATGCTTCTCAAGATGACAGTTTACTGGGAAATGTAGAGCCTGCTTCCTGTAGCCTCACCTAGCTTTGCCATCCCCCCCCCCAAGCCCAAACACCCAATCTCAAATTCTGATGCCCCCACCCCCGTCATGTAATATTCTTTTCGTCTTACCAAAAGGAAAAAAAAAAAAAAGAAGTGTTTATGACTTTCTGATGTATTTTTTCTTTTTGTTACTGAAGAAAGTAAGAGAAAAAGGAAGAAAAAAAAAAACTAGAATATTAAAAAAGAAGAAGAAGAAGAAAAAAAATAAGAGAGGAAGTTTTAAGAGATGGAAGAGAGAAAGCAGTGGTGAAGAAAAGAGGAAGGAAAAAATGGACATTGATCCAAAGAAAAAAATGACAAAGAAAAAGAATGTATTTTATAAAATAAAGAAATAAAGGTATCATACCTTGAACATTTTTCAGGAGGGAAGAAAGCTTGGAGGAATTTTCAGAGTGGAAAAGAATGGGGTGGGGGATATTTTGAAAAGGACACAGACAGTAAAATTAGAAGACCAAGTAGCGACAAAAGAAAATTTGAAATGAAAAAGACAGGGAGTAGATTGAAGAAGAAAAAAAAGAAAGGAAATTGAATGGGATAAAGACAGAGAGGAAATTGAAGAGGGGGAAAAAGAAAGAGAGGAAATTGAAGAGGGGGAAAAAGAAAGAGGAAATTGAAGAGGGGGAAAAAGAAAGAGGAAATTGAAGAGGGGGAAAAAGAAAGAGGAAATTGAAGAGGAGGAAAAAGAAAGAGGAAATTGAAGAGGGGGAAAAGAAAGAGCAAAAAAGAGAGAGGAGATTGAAGATGAAAAAAGAGAGTGAGGAAATTGAAAAGGATAAAAACAGAGGAAATTGAAGAGGGGAAAAAGAAAGAGGAAATTGAAGTGAGAAAAAGAGAGGGAGTATATTGAAAGGGGGAAAAGAAAGAGGAGATTGAAGAGGAAAAAAGAGATGGAAGGGAAAAAAGAAAGAGAAAAGATTGAAGAGGGAGAAAAAAGAGAGGGAACTGAATAGGGAGAAAGAAAAAGAGAAGATGAAAAAAGAGACAGAGGAAATTGAAGAGGGAAAAAGAAAGGAAATTGAAGAGGGAAAAAGAAAGAGAGTAGTTTAGAGAGAGGAACTGAAGACAAAGAGAGAGAGGATATTGACAAGGAAAAAAAAAAGAAAATTGAAAAGAGGAGAAAGAACTGGAGGAAATTGAAGAGGGAAAAAGAAAGAGAAAATTTAAAAGAGAGAGGATATTGAAGAGGAAAAAAGAGAGAAAGGAAACTGAAGAGAGGAGATTGAAGAGGGGATAAGAAGGAGAGGAAATTAGAGACGGTAGAAGAGAGAAAGAAAATTGAAGAGGAAAGAGAGAGAGAGAAAATGAGTGAGGGAGGAACTTGAAGAGGAAAAAAGAAAGAGAAAAAATTGAAGAGGAAAAAGTAAGAAAGGAAACTGATGAGGAAAAAAGAAAAAAGAAATTGAAGAGGGAAAAAAAAAGAGTGGCGATTAAAGAGGAAAAAGAAAGAGAGGAAATTGAAGAGAGATAGAAGAAAATGAAGAAAGAGGATTGACAGAGGAAATTGAAAAGGGAAAAAGAGAGTGACAAAATTGAAGAGAGAAAATGAGAGAGAGGAAATTGAAGAAGGAAAAACAAAGAGGAAATTGAAGAAGGAAAAACAAAGAGGATATTGAAGAGGGAATAAGAGATAGGAAATTGAAGAGGGAAAAGTGAGAGGAGATTGAAGAGGGAAAAAGAAAGAGGAGATTGAAGAGTGAAAAAGAGAGAGGAGGAGATTGAAGAGTGAAAAAGAGAGAGAGGAGATTGAAGAGGGGAAAAAGAAAGAGAGGAGATTGAAGAGGGGAAAAAAAGAGAAGAAATTGAAGATGGAAAAAGTGAGAGAGGAAGAGAAAGAGGATATTGAAGCAAGAAGAGGTCAGAGAAAAAACTGTAGAAGAGGACAGTGAAAACATAAAAATGAATTTTATATATATATATATATATATATATAGATATACAGAGAGAGAGAGAGAGAGAGATCAATGTGAACAGAAAGAGTAAACTTTGAAAAGAAAAGACAAAAAAATGAAAATTTTTGAAGGAATGAAGAAAAAATACTAAAAATAAAAAAAAAGGAAAAAATACGACAGCACATCTTGCCCTCCCCTAGAAACTCCTGTCGTTATTCTACCATCTGTTTTGTGGAATCTGTTGTTTGTACCCTAGGCGCATCAAGTAAATGGTTACCGCCCTGAACCTCTTCACCTTCGGCTCGCCAACCCTACCCATTAACTCTCCCACTGACAAATTTGCCTCTCCCTACATCCCGCCCATTCTCACATTGAGATTATTTCTTGCTTGTCTTTGTGACCTTTTGTTAGTATTGTAGGAGAACCATGCTATAATGTACATCTGGACTTCCTTTTGGTCCACGTTATTAAAACCAGTTGATTAGACAGGAGGGAGAAAGAGCTGGGGTTGGGGATACAGACATTTGCATAACTTTACACACACACACACACAAAAGACTGCTGAAAAGTTCTCAGCCAGATCTAGAAAGGATTAAATAGATTTCTGATGTTTGGTCAGATTTCGAGAAGTGGCTCAGACTGAGAACATATCAGCATCCTCTCCTGTGTAAAGTGTTTTTGGTGGTGCTAACCCCACTTACCCACTTTCCTTGTAATTTTGCTCATAAAGTAAGTACAAAATGGTTTTTGAGATTTTGCTTACATAATGAAGTTTTTGGTTCTATCGCCAGAAGGTTTTCCTTTGTTCAAAACCTATTCACTGCAGCCAACCTTGTACTTGTAAATTCTTTTATAATTATAGACAAAACCATTTTTAATAACGCTAACACTGAATGGAATCATTTTAATGATGCTAGCGTTAGATGGAAACAAAAAAAGATTCTTAGACTTAGTACCAGAAAATAGAGTTGAAATTTCTAAGACACATAATAAGGAAAGATGGCTTAGAAAATTTGATACTCACAGAATATACTGAATGGCGGAAGGGACTAAGGGAAACTGTGTATAACCTATTTAATGAGCTTGTGTAAATGGATGGACAAACAGGGACTGGGAAGGAGACAAACAATATTTAGGGCTACAAAAGATAGAAAGTTGTGGAGGACCATAGTCAAGCACATTCTCAAGGGGCTTAGAAGAAGGAGAAGAAGATTGATTTAATTAGCTTTATTGTACAATGCTAATTTGAGACATTTTCTCGTTTTAATATTATCAGCTATATGCAAAAGAATTCCAATTGCTCTTTTTTGAATGAAAATCTTTGCATCGATACCAATCTGGTGCAGGCCACAAATGTGTGGCATTCAATAAGAAATGAATCTACTATAATCATAATGATCTATCATGTTAGCTTACTAAAACTACTCATCAGCATTAAATCACACCTGGATAGTTTACATACTCAAATAGAAAAATTCTTATATCTGATACAAATATGGCAGTTGACATGTTTTTGAGAATAAAATATTAAGACATCTCAGTTGATATATACATATATATTTTTAATTGGTATCACCTCATGCAAAGCAGTAAAACCACAAAACACAAGCCGTTACAGGGTGTGGAAGAATTAGGAACAGAAATATTAATAATGAACTGAAAGAGGAAACAGTAATCAGGAGAACAGCAGATAGCTATTGACATTGCATTTAAATTTTTGCAGATTAAAGTTGGCTGGAAAGCATGGAACCAGGAGGGAGTTCCACAAATGAGAAGTGCGAGAAAAGATACTGTTACCATAGAATTTACAGTTACATCTAGCCAGCTCAACTGTAAATTGATGAGATCATGACACCAGTCTAGTGCTTCACTTAAATTAAAAAAGGCTAGGTACCATAGCAAAGAGCTCATTTGAACAATTACCATGAAAGTATTTATAGAAAAGGCACAGAGAGGCAACCTTATGGCAGTGGAAAAGTGACTGAAACACTTCAAACTGACTGACTGACGGAAGTGGTACTACTATATTTTGGGGGAATATTGATTTATGAAGAGAACAAATCTAAACTGCAGTTAAAGCATATTTATACCATTTACATTGTTTGGACAGTCGTCCTCATCTTTATTGTCATATTCATGATGTTTCGGCTGTTGTACCCTCCTACCTTCTTCAGATGATATACGTTGGAATTTCAAACCGAACACTTTATTTAGTCTACTGGGGTAGATTGTTCTAGTTCCTCAAGGACACATGGCCCAATAGGTTGGATGAAGTAATCCAGTGACTTGTCTCAAAGAGTTGTGAGTTGAATACCTGGCCACAGCAGCAGTGATAAAAAACTTGGAGTATTGAGATACTAAAGTGAATTAACTGAAACTGAGACATTCACAAAAGGCATGGCATGTGGATCTAGAACAATCTACCCCAGTGAATTAAATAAAGAGTTTGGTTTGAAATTCTAATGTATATCACCTGAAGAAGTCCAGATTGTACGAATAGCTGAAACATCATGAATATAACAATAAAGATGAGGACAACAGTCTGAACAATGTAAATATTGTAAATAGTTACAATACCTCATCTCAGAAATATAGACAAATGTTTAATTTATTTTTCTTTCTTCTCCGTATCATGTCTTTCCAGGATGTGAGCAGTCATGGCCCACTACAACTTCCTATCATTTGAAATACTAAACAATATTTGTTCCTTTATTATCTCTCTAAGTATCTCTCTGCCATCTATTTACATAAGGTTTGAAATTCCAACAAATATCACCTGAAGAAGGGCAGAGCGTATAATGGCCGAAACATCATAAATTTGACAATAAAGATGAGGACAGCAGTCCAAACAATGTAAATAATTGCAATACCTCATCTCAGAAATATAGACAGATGTTACAGTTAAAGCCTCAGGATTTTAGGGGTTAACCTATAAACAAGTATTTAGGGCAAATCTTACTTATTATAAAATGCAGATTGTGTGTGTGTGTGTGTGTGTGTGTGTCTGTATGTTTATATTTTGGATTGGATTTCCTACATTTTTCATCCGATTTCAACAAAACTTCACAGGACTACGTAAAATTACCTTGTGGTGGTTCTGACAGCACCAAAAATTCTAAAAACACAATTGTTTTTGCACGAAATCAATTTGAAAACACGATTAAGAGGCATTAATGAAAGGGGGACAACTCATATCGAGTTATACTTATTATAAAACCCAGGTTGTTTGTGTGTGTGTGTGTCTGTGTGTGTGTTCATTTATATATAGGATCGGATTTCCTACATTTTTCAACCGATTTCAACAAAACTTCACTTTTTTTTGGCAGGTAGTGTTTCTTATTGTCTTGCACACTTTTTTTTTTTATTTTTACATTCAGAATGCGTTAAAATTCCATTTACAAGACAATTGTTTATAATAAAATTCTATTCAATTTATAGACTCATAATGATTGAAAACAATGTTTTTGTTTGAGTTTGGGTTTGACCAATTCGTAAAAAAAAACAAAAAACAAAACCAAAAAAAAAACTAATTAAGACATGCGTGTCCGTCAACCTTAAACAATAATCTTTGTCAATTTTATTTTTCAGTCTTTATGATGGTCAATACTTGATCTATCTCTTACTGTTACATCCCCGGGCAACACTGGGCTCTACTGCTAGTATGGATATATAATGATTCCATCTGTTTGATTTGACAATAGACATGACCATTGAGAACTTGGATGTTGAATAGCATCAGCTGAGGCAGAGCAAGCCAATTTTTGAGTGCTAATCCTAAACACTGTTGTTCCACATTCAAGGCTAGTAAGTTGTTCCTGCAGCTTTTAAAATTTGAAGTCAATGTATTCAGTTTGATTTCTGTTTGAAAACTAATCATGGAGGTCTGACTCTGAACTTTTCCTGGGATTATGTTGAAGTCATGCTGAAAAAAAAAGTTAATGACGCTTGATTAACAAAGTGAAACAGCATCGATTCAAATCAACTGCTCAACAACACCAGGAACATTTAGCATCTCATGTTATCACCATACAAAACTGAACAATATTGGACAGGACTCAGTTCAAAATCGAACAATAACTGATGAAATGTTGGTGATGTGTCTGAAACGTTGAGACATTATGGAGGCTCAGGTCAAAGAATTGCTGGAACATGTCTTTTACAGGTGATGCATTATCTTTTTCAAAGATCTTCATGGCTTAAAAAAAAAATTTATCAATGAAAACTTTGTGAACTATGATTGTAATTTTTCTTTATTCCAGCCTGAATAAAAATGGGAATCAGGCATACTGAAAAAAATGATACTCACTTTCTTCTGAGTCAACTGGGAATGCTATACTTTGAAACACAAAGACTAAACCATTTGATGGCATATAAACGCCTCTCTACTTAATTTTCCTATTACATTTTAATATTACATATTATATTATTAATATTAATTTAATATTAAAATTATATATTTATTAGTATTATGTAATTATGCTGGTACAAGATTATTACATAGCTGATGCTAACCTCCAGGAGAGTGATTCCTTTGTGGCTCATCAGACTGACGTTTTCAACAAACATGAAGTGGAAAGATATTGAATCAATTGTTATGTCTACTGCTAGAAAAGTTGATTCACTGTGTCATGCGAAACAATTCTTATTGCCAGATTCTATTTTTTTCAATTATCTCAACAAAAGCAAGGCAACAAAGCCACTAACACACAGGGGGTTACTGAGTGTGAAAGAATATAAGAAAATCATTATTAATGCACGAAACATGTTTGTAAATCTACCATTCATCCATACTTTGAACAGTGTTATCACATCTGGTCTGGTGCTTTTGCTATGTATTTAGAGATTCTTGATAAAATACAAAGAAAAATCTGCAATGTTATTGGTCCAGACCTGGCATTTCAGCTTTAGCTACTTTTCTACTACCATAATTTAGCTTCCCTGTGCTCTTTCTATAAATATTTTCATGGTAATTGTTCTAATGAGCTTTCCTATTTAGTACCTAGAATTTATGAATTTAAATGCAATACTAGATGGTCAGTTAGGTTTCATCATTTTACAGTTGAAATTGCTCAATATACCCATAAGTTTTATGCTAACAGTCTCTTCACTTGCACTTCTCACTTATAAATCTCTCTTCCAGCTTTTTGCTTTCTAGTTAACTTAGATCTTCAAAAATTTAAATGCA